AATACATTTTGTGCATATCAAAAGGATATGTTTTGTGTAAACATGCTTGATCTAGATCTATAACTTTTTTCTGACTTTTAGATGTTTTTCTCAAGCAGTCCCTCGTTTCTACTATAGGTTCAGATCATTTATTTTAGTACAGTACTAAGACAATAAAGTAGTATTTCAAAAGAAATGGGGAAAAAAACAGAGAACATTCATGAAAGATGCCTAAGACAGTTTTATCCACTTGATGAAGTTGTCTACCATAGAAAAGATGATCAGAGTCCCGTGCTTTAAACTCTCTGAGACAGTAAAGTATATCATGAATGTTATCGGGAAGAACAATCACACATCTATGCTATTTTATATTACAAATCATTATTTTAGACATATTCATGATTTGATGTCCTACCTCATTGTCGCATTCCATCTAATTTCCTCATTGATTGCTAGTATGATACCACTAAAAAAGTATATAAAACTTTAGCATACCCATACCCATGAGATCTTTTGAACAATAAAACTACATTTCTATGCAAACATGTTGTTCTAAATAGACTGAGCTAACTAATGCACATCCTTGCAACGGGTGGGTTTTTATTTCTTACAAAACTATATATTTATTTTATGCTTGAAAGAATTTATATGTAACTTGGGTTTTATACTTGTTATGAATATTTTAGGGTACATATATCTAATACTTTTATATTAGAAAATATACATATTTTTTATATGCAGTAAAGGTACCAAATAGAGTACCTTGTAGCGGTTATTAACTAAAGTATGAACAATACATGTTTAGTTTAACGTTACACTCTGAACACCAAAACCATTACATTTTAATATAGTAGGTGGGTGGGGTGGGTGGGGTGGGGGTTTACTTTTCAAACGTATTTATGTTCAGCGTCATCATGCATAGTATGAATGATTACACTTAATGTGGCTAATGTTTCTCATAGAGAATCTTTGACAGGCGCATTTAATTGGAGAGTGTGACGATAGCCATTTCTCTAGGAAAGCGTTGGATTAGACCAGAGATCATCGAGCATGATGACCTTATTGTGGGAAGATCAGGCTGCTGTTCGCAGACTGTCCTGGGATTAGATTACCGATATGTTAAAAAAAAAAAAATTGCTGTTATTTTCCTTCAAAAAGGTGAGTCCTAAGTGTTACTTAATAAAATGAATTATTCAGAGATAAGTTGAACTATAAGTATGTTTAATATGAAAATAGATAATATAGAGTGTTTCTATGAAACAGAAATACACAAACGTAAACACGTACATGGAGAAAGGTTAAAAAAAACAACACTGTAGCGAACATTTGGACAGAGGGATAAGAGGGTGTGAAACTAGACCTAACTCTAGCAGTAGAAATTCAATTTTAATGTTTATTTATTCATTCATATTTCTCTTGTATTTTTAGCCAGTGCTCGTTTAGTTAATAATATTGAATTAAAATCTTATTTTAAGTTTGAGGAAGTATAGTCAATGATTAATGGAAGCAAATATATATGTAAGGGAACATTATAACCACCAAAAGCATATATTACATAATGTATGTATGCCAAAGACAGAAATATTTTCATATTCTTTAATTTTGCAATTTTGGTAAAAAAATAATAATAATAATATTAATCTTGATACATATATGCAATTTGTTTATTTTTATTTGACAGATTACTGACTATATTTTATTGCTTTGGAATGTTATTCTTAGCCCCTCACTACACTAAAAGCTTTGAAAATAAACATAAAGAGAGTTCTCTTTTCCCTAATTCATACATGGAATATTTTATGGACCTTTATTAGAATTAATGCATCCATGATTAATATGAGGTTAATGTGCTTTTCTGCTTTCACAAGGACTTTTGACTTTCTAACATAGGGAACAATAATTCAAATGTGTAATCATGTATTTTATTCCCTGCTAAACACTGTGAAAATAGGAAGCTTATTTTTGTAAAATAATCTACGTTATTTCTTTTTAAAAAGAAGGTAAAGCAAATGTTCTGTAATTTTGTTTTTTGTTTTTTTTTCTCCCCATTTTCAGTAGTGACAAAGCAAATAGGCTCTGTTATCATTGAACTTTATATATGAGCCAGTGAAGCAGAATTTTATGAATACTCAATCACAAAGAAGACAGAAACTATATGTTTTAACACACTTAATACATTGATATTTTAAAGAGTTTAATAATAGTGTTTTTAAACTTAAAGGGGACTGTCACAAGATTTTTAATATAATATTTACTTATATCTACATTTAACTAATATATATATTTCTGAGGTGTGACAATTAAAGTCAATGTAGATATCCACACCTCTTTATCTTGCAACTGCATTCCTCCATCTTAGCTTTATGACAGGGTTATAAGCTTTGACCTTTGCACCAAGCAGTCAGCATACAGAAACCAAATGGAAAATAAGATAAATTAAACAATTTCACCAGCAATGTTTGCCCTGGCTATGCCTTATGCTACTTGGAGTTCGATAACTTGTACCACATAGTGTTCTTTGTCATTTAGGCCATTGCTAGTTTATTGACTTTGTGTACCTCTGTAACCTTGGCTTGGCTTGCTCAGCAGACCAGTATACTGTTTTCTTGAGCTAGTTTAACTGATTCCTCTTCTTGCTTTTTTATGTTTTTTGTTACTTAACTTTATTGTGTTAAGCCAGAGACAGTTCTCTAATTAGACAATTTAGGCAGCCGCCTAAGGCCTTGCGCTTATTGGGGCCTCGCAGCCACCTAAATCACCATAGGGCAGACTAGTATGTCGGTTCTCGGTCATGACCAAGGGCCTGACAATGGGAGGGGGTCCAGTGATTTACCCTTTATGCCACCGGGTGCGTGGCCCCTCTGCTCAGTCTGCCCTGGGAGAGGGCCAATACAGCTTCCAGTCTGTAGCTCTGCCGGGTGCAGATTTGTTTAAGAAAAAAAGGTATTTATGACCCTGTCCACACACTGTCACCTCACATCCAAACTGTCAGCCCTACCCTATCACAGCTCCTTCTACCCTGTCACAGCCCCTCTACCCTGTCACTGCCGCTCTACCTTGTCACAGCCCCCTTACCCTGTTACAGCTACCCTACCCTATCACAGCCCCTCCATCTTGTCACAGCTCTCCCTACCCTGTCACAGACATCTTACCCTGTCACAGTCCCCCTACCTTGTCACAGTCCCCCATATCCTGTCAAACCTGCCCCTAGCTTGCCACAGCCCCCCACCTTGTCAGCACTCCACCTACCCTGGCACAGCCCTTCCACCTTGTCACAGCCCTCCTTCCTGTCACAGCTTCCCCACCCGGTCCAGCTCCCCTACCCTGTCATAGTCCCTCCACCTTCTTACAACCACCAGCACACCCTGTCACCACACACTCATTCTGTCACAGGTACCCCACAAACTTTGCTCCATCCTGTCACAGCCCACACACACCCTGTCACCCCACACCCACCCTGTCACAGCTCCCCACCTGTCAAAGACCCCCTAAACACAACCGATCACAGTCACCCACACTCTGTCACCCCACACACATGCCTTCCCGGCCCTACACACATACCCTGTCAACCCCACCCACACCCTATCATCCTCACACACACACACTGATACCCCCTCCACACACACTGTCACTCCCACATGCACACACTGTCACCCCTACACATACACTCTTACCATACCCAAACACTTTCAGCCCCCACACACTGTCACCCCCTTCACCCAGCCACACTCACCTTAACCCCTCCTAATCCTGTTACTCTCATCCCCTTGCCACACTTACTCTATCACATTAACCTCCCCAATCCTGTAGCCCTATGGAACATGAGCAGCATAAGTGGAATACGGCCTTGACAGGTCTTGGAGGTGGGCTTAGGGGGAGAAAAGGGGGTGGTGATTGGTAGGATGATTAGGGGCCAGCCTAGTATAAATAGGTAGGCCATTTTATCCCTGTCACTATTATTCAACTCACCAGTCCGTGTTGGTCCCTCCCTCCCTTGGGTTGACTCTATGGTTCATGGCCTTGTTTAATCACAGCGGCGGTGTTGGTAACGGGAAGGCTAGGAAGAAAAGGGTCTTTTGCTTAGTTACAGAAGAGTTAAGGACATCGGTTGATTGGTTACAAGTTGGTTGGTTACAATGTTGGTGTTATGTTTCTGGGTTTCGAGCCCGTCGGTGGCTCAGAACCTTGGTGGGGTAGGGAGGTGATTAATTTATGTTGCACTTTATTTGTATATATTTATGTTGAGTTGTGTGTGTGTGTATATATATATTTATGTTGAGTTGTGTGTGTGTGTATATATATATATATGTATATATATATATATATATATATATATACACACACACACAACTCAACATAAATATATACAAATAAAGTGCAACATAAATTAATCACCTCCCTACCCCACCAAGGTTCTGAGCCACCGACGGGTGCAGATTTGTTTAAGAAAAAAAGGTATTTATGACCCTGTCCACACACTGTCACCTCACATCCAAACTGTCAGCCCTACCCTATCACAGCTCCTTCTACCCTGTCACAGCCCCTCTACCCTGTCACTGCCGCTCTACCTTGTCACAGGTTGAGTTGTGTGTGTGTGTGTGTATATATATATATATATATATATATATATATATATACACACACACACACACAACTCAACATAAATATATACAAATAAAGTGCAACATAAATTAATCACCTCCCTACCCCACCAAGGTTCTGAGCCACCGACGGGTGCAGATTTGTTTAAGAAAAAAAGGTATTTATGACCCTGTCCACACACTGTCACCTCACATCCAAACTGTCAGCCCTACCCTATCACAGCTCCTTCTACCCTGTCACAGCCCCTCTACCCTGTCACTGCCGCTCTACCTTGTCACAGGTTGAGTTGTGTGTGTGTGTGTGTATATATATATATATATATATATATATATATATATACACACACACACACACAACTCAACATAAATATATACAAATAAAGTGCAACATAAATTAATCACCTCCCTACCCCACCAAGGTTCTGAGCCACCGACGGGATCGAAACCCAGAAACAGAACCTTGGTGGGGTAGGGAGGTGATTAATTTATGTTGCACTTTATTTGTATATATTTATGTTGAGTTGTGTGTGTGTGTGTATATATATATGTATATATATATACACACACACACACAACTCAACATAAATATATACAAATAAAGTGCAACATAAATTAATCACCTCCCTACCCCACCAAGGTTCTGAGCCACCGACGGGCTCGAAACCCAGAAACATAACACCAACATTGTAACCAACCAACTTGTAACCAATCAACCGATGTCCTTAACAGTGGAGCTTCTGTTTCCTGTACCCAGCCGGACTGACAGGAAGTACACACTAAGTGTACACGGATGTTCCTGTACCGTGGACCGGAGAGGAGCTCGGCCACGCTACAGGGAAGGGGAGGTGAGGAGAGAGGCAGTGCTGCAGCCGCCTGAGGCGCTCTCTAAAGCACCCAGGCGGCTGCAGCAATAGGCTGCCTAGTTCACCTTATAAGAAGCGCTGGCCCTACACACAAGGATACTCTCTGTCAGACACATACTTTCAGGCACATACACAGGTAGACAATGCCAGACACATTCAGAAATACACACCGGCACTTATGTTGTGCATGTGAGGGCCTACCGTTATCCTTACTCTTACTTCTGAACAATGTGTATACGCACACTAACTTTCATCTTGCATTGCTAAGCAATAGATACTTGGCATTTAGCACATAAAATCCTGCTTACATCCACCTTTGCTGACAAACTGCTTTAACCCCTTAAAACCGGAGGACGTACAATTACACCCTCTAATAGGCGGCTCTAAACGCCGCCGGGCGTAATTGTACGCCCTCCGGTTTTTGTTAACTTACCCGGTCGCCGGCGGTCCCACGCCGGCGATCGCGGTTGGGGGGACTCCCAGGGAGCCCCCCGCGGCACGTCCGTCCTCGTCGAAGCCCCGCGGCCATGTGAGAGTGGGGTCCTAGCGAGGACCCCACAATCACATGGCCGGGGATAGCTGGCTTCTGTATTGCCGGCAGGGGGGCTGCCTGTAATGACAGGTGGTCCTCCTGCTGGCTGAAAATAAAATAAAAATAAGTTAATGGTGTAAAAAAAAATAATTATATATACTTAGATCATATATATATATTATATATATATGAACTAAGTATATATATACACATATACATACACACACATACACCGTCTAGGTGTATTTTACTATTAATATATATATAATTATATATATATATTAATATCAAATTACACGTAGACTGATACTGATTAAATATATATATAATTATTGTATATATATTTATATATATAATATATTAAAAAAATGTAAATACGCTAAAAAATAAAATTAAAAAAATAATTAAAAATAAATAATTAAAAAATATATAGATGTGTGTTATTTCGTTCTAACTGTATTGTGAAATTAATATATATATATATATATATATATATATATATATATATATCTCAAAATACACGTAGAACGAAATAATATATATATCTATATACATAAATATATACATATATATCACTATATATATACCTATATATAAATACAAATATTTAAAAAAAAATATATAGATATATACATATATATACACATACGTATATATATACATATA